TTTTTTATTGTGATTTGGGTGAAGATTTACAGAGCAAATTCACTTTCCATACAGCAGTTCACATACACTTTGTCTCATGAGATTGACCACAAATTACTGCAGTGCAACAGCTCCCCTCCCTCCTTCCTCCCAATAATTACCTCTTCCCTGTATCCATCCCTCCATGCCCTCCCGCCCCCTGAGCTGTCTCCCGGTGCATAAGCAGCCCTTCTTTCCCCCATGATTGTTCTCTCCAAGGAGTGTATCTACCTCAGGTAAATGTTCACCTCATATACCTGTCTTTTGTTTGGCTGGAAGCCACAGGTGTGGGTTCAATTCCAGACCTGACAGGCAGGTAAGGGCCATAGTCTCAGTGGTTTCACTAGGCTCTGTCGGAGCAGAAAACCTGGTCCCCCCCTTTTTTTTTTCTCCAAATGATTTTGAGTTTTGTCCACATTATTCTCCCTCTCTATCCAGGATCTGCTACATAGATCCCCTTCCAAGTGGTTGACATTGGTAGCCGGGCATTATCTAGTTTTTCTGGTCTCATAGTCATATAGGCTGCAGATTGGATGGTGTGCCAGTTGCTAGGACTGATTGTATCCATGAATTTTTGGTTTTCTTCATTCTTCTTTGCTTTGGATGAGGAGAGACCCATCATTGCATCTAGATGGCAGTTTGCAAGCTTTTAAGATCCCAGTTGCTACTCACCAAAGTAGGAGGTGGAACAGTGTTTTGTGTAGTATATTATGCCAATTGAGCTTGATGTCCCCTGCGACTATGGTCCCGAGCCCACAGGTTCAACTACTCGGTCCCTCTGGGTAGCTGGCTGTGACCAAGCAGTGACCACAACCTTGCCTTGATCAAGTATTTTTTCACAGGTATGTGTATGTGTGGAGTCCCTGGGTGGCGTAGGCGGTTAAGTGCTCCGCTGCTTGCCAGAAGGTTGATGCTTGAAACCACCCAGAGGCTCCTCTGAGGTCAGGCCTGGTCACAGCCTCAGAAACCTTATGGAGCAGTTCTGCTGGGCACACGTGTGGTCGCTGTGAGTCAAAATAGACACCATGGCAACTGACATCAGCAGTAGCACATGCATGTATACATGCTTACGTAGTGTGTACATGTACATAAAAGCTGTAATATACCTAAATGTGCACTTACATTTACATGCTTACATAGTAAGCACATGTACGTTAAAGCCATCACATACCTAAATGTGTATACACATGCATGTGTACACATGCACGTGCAAGGAAAGGTGCTCTTACATATACATGCTCACATCGTATGTACACATACATTAAAGCTGTAATATACCTAAATGTGTATACACATGCATGCATATATGTATACATGCAGAGAAATGTGCTCTTACATGTACATGCTTTCATAGTATGTTGTTGTTATGTGCCATCGAGTCAGACCTGACTCATAGCGACCCCTCCTTGGGTTTCCGAGGCAGTATCACTATGGAAGTAGATTCTCCCATCTTCCTTCCGAGGAGTGACTGGTGGGTTTGAACCGCCAGCCTTCTGGTTAGCAGTCAAGTGCCTTAGGCACTATGCTACCAGAGCTCCTACATACATTAAAGCCATCATATACCTAAACATGTACACATGCATGTGTACACATGCACATGCAGGGAAATGTGCTCTTACATTATGTAGCATGTACACATACATTAAATGTAGTATGTAGTATGTACACATACATTAAAGCCATGATATATCTAAATGTACACACATGTGTGTATACATCTGCACATGCAGGGAAGTGTGCTCTTACATTTACACGCTTATATAGTATGCACATGTACATTAAAGTCATCATATACCTAAACGTGTATACACATGCATGTGTACACATGCACACACAGTGAAATGTGCTCTTTCATATACATGCTTATGTAGCTGTGATATACCTAAATGTATACACATGTGTGGGTACACATGTACATGCAGGGAAATGTGCTTTTACATATACACATTTATGTAGTATCTACACGTACATTAAAGTCATGATATACCTAAATGTGTATACACATGCACACGTACATGTGCACATGTAGGGAAATGTGCTCTTACATACACATGCTTACATAGTATGTACACGTACATTAAAGTCATGATATACCTAAACATGTATACACACATATGCATACACACACCTGCAGGGAAATGTGCCCTTATATATAGTACACTTACATAGTGTGTACACGTACATTAAAGCAGTGATATACCTAAATGTACACATATGCACACATACACACGCACATACAGGGAAATGTGCTCTTACACATACACCCTTCCATAGTATGTACACATAAATTTAAGCCATCATGTACCTAAATGTACACACATGCATGCATACACATGCACATGCAGGGAAATTTGCTCTTGCATATACACGCTTACATGGTATGTACATGTACATTTAAGCTGTGATATACCTAAATGTGTACACATGCATGCGTACATGTGTACGTGCAGGGAAATGTGCTCTTACATTTGTATGACCTAAAAATGGCAAAAGCATCAAATCTAAAGTATTTCAATAATTTTAAATACTAACTCAGCGTGGGACCTGACAGTGTTTCCTTCAATTGTACATAGGGTTGCTAAGAGTTGGAGCTGACTTGATGGCACCTAACAATAATGACAACTGCTCAATGTGATTTTTAGTAAACTGTAAACCAAACTCAGCACCATCAAAAAAAAAAAACCAAACGAAACACAACGCAGTGCCGTTGAGTTGGTTCCCACTGATAGCAACCTCTCTTTGGGTTTCTGAGGCAGTATCTCTATGGAAGTGGATTGCCCATCTTTCTTTTAAGGAGTGGCTGGTGGGTTTGAGCTGCCAGCCTTCTGGTTAGCAGTCAAATGCCTTAGGCAATGCACTACCCTTGCTCCTCACTGCCATCAAGTTGGTTCCAATTTGTAAGTGACCCTAGAGGACAGAGTGGAACTGCCACACAGGGTTTCCCAGACTGTGAATCTTAATGGAAGCTGACTACCTCCTCTTTCTCCCATGTAGCTGCTGGTGGGTTTGAACCACTAACCTTTTGGTTGGCAGCTGTGTGGTTTAACTGCTGCATCACCAAGGTGCCTTTGATTTTATAGCTTGTTGTTATGAGCCATCGAGTCGGACCCTATTCATAGCGACCCCTCCTTGGGTTTCTGAGGTAGTATCACTATGGGAGTAGATTGCCCAGCCTTCCTTCTGAGGAGTGGCTAGTGGGTTTGAACCGCCAGCTTTCTGGTTAGCAGTCAAATGCCTTAGGCACTATGCTACCAGAGCTCCCTGATTTTATAGCAGTGGTGGTAATAACAGCCAAGGGGATATTATGCGGAGGAATTGTATGTTAGGGGAGAAGCAGTGTCGGTTACCCAGTAAGCAAGGTCAGCACGGGCATCCATGTGCTTGCTTACTACTCGGTAGTGAACAGTCTCACGTGTTTTCACGCCGTCAGAGAGTCTGCTGCTGGAAGTGGCTGCACCTGTTTGTCTTCCGGCCCATAGCCCCTACCTCAGAATCAAAGCCTCTTTTCACACTGACAGTGAAGCCTGTGGCTTCCCTTGCTGACTGGGTGCCCTGTCCCAGAGAAGACTGACTTGTTCTAACAAGCTCCTGAAATCCTGTGTGGGAGGGACAGAGCGGGCATGGGGAGGGTGGTGCTGTTACCACTGAGCAGGGGACAGGGATACAGGGGGCAGCGGGACGCTGAGGGCAGCGGGAAGCTGGGGGCAGCGGGACGCTGGGGGCAGGTCGTGGAGCAGGGGCTGTGAATGGGAGAAGTACACAGAGCTATGGGGTTGTGGTGGTTTCAGTCATGTTATGGAAAGGGGATTGAGTGCCAGGAAGATGGAGCTAAGAACCGGGAGGCTGAGTGGTTAGAACCCAGGACCGTGGGAGCTGCAGCCTCAGAGCACCTTAGAAGAAGGGCAGTGTGCTTACTAATTCATGGTACCAGCTTCCTGGAGTCACAGATTGACTGCGTGAGGCCTCAGAACATTTTAAAACATCAGGATGTTTTTGAGTTTGGCTTTAATAAAGGCCTTGTCACCTTGTGCATTTAGTACAGAGTTTCTGTTTTCTTAAAGCTAGAATTGAAAGCACTCACTGATTACAGAAAATCTTGGTCGTACACGTTATGAAGTCACGAGTGGCAGACATGATGCTGACTGGCTCGTAGGGTGGAGACGCTGTGTGTGGGGTGACGGTGGCCGTGACTTGCGTTAGGAACATACACCTTGTTGGTAACAGTTGTTGATCTGGATTGCAGGGCAAACACGTGTTCTCTAAGCCTGTACAATCTGCCCAGTTTTATTACATGGATGCTTTTATACTGGCGGCGGCTGGCCTGGAATTTCATCTGCTAAAGTATTGTGTCGACACTTGCAAAGATGACATCCGCAGGTAGGCTGACACTCCTGTCTCATCCTCTTACTTTCTGTTTTGGTAATGACTGCATTTTAAAGAATGTCTGCATTTGAAAGTGTCACCTACCCTGGAATAGTACCCTCACTTTAGGGATGACTGACGAGTGGAAGGCCAGTTACGAGGTCAGCTGAGTCACGTTTTGGTGGGGAAGGTTAGGTGTCTCCCTCATGGCCAGGTGACCATGGTGACAGGCCTGTGGTGTGACTTGCAGAGAGAGGTGGCGTTGTCTGTTGTACACTGTACTGAACTGATGTTATCTCGGACAACTGATACTGATAAGAACAAGTTAAATTTATGCAGTATTTCCGACACACAGATCTAGGTGAGGGATGTTACAATGAACACCTGCTTCAGTGCCTCCGGCTTTGACAAATATTTTTTGCTCTTTGTTTTCCAAAGTTTGTCAGGAAATAAAATGCCACAGAGTGAAGTAAAGGCCGTCTCCCAGGCTGATTCCCCTCTTCCTCTTCTCAACACCACAAGTTCCCTTCCACTCAGCGCCTGGCACCTTTGCTACCTCTACTTACAATGTTATTTTGAGTGTTTGAATGTTAACGCAAGCCCACCTGTCTTCATGACCCCAGTCATGTTGTGAGACTGACTCGTGTCCAGGTCTGTAACCTCAGTGCGTCCCTGTGACTGCCCGCCAGTGCTGCTGTGCAGGCACGCACCACAGCTCCTTCCCTGTTCTCCCCTGGGCACCTGCTGGCTGTTTCTGACACCCTGCTCTGTGAACGGGGCTATGGCGGATTTCCAGTGGTATACCTGCAGGTGCAACGTGTGGGCTGCAACCCGGAGAGGGAGCTCTTGTGGGTGGAGTAAGACCTCAGCTCCAAACCTCTTTACACCGGTGGCAAGGTGACCCCTCGTGGCAGTGGGGTGGCCCCCACACCTTACAGGCTCCCTGAGGGGACAGTCGATGCACCTGTGTGGGCTCCATCCTCTCTTCTCTGATTCAGAATGTCCATCCATCTACATTTTCCTCCCTGTGTTTCAGCCCTCCTTCCTCCGGGTCTTCTCCCCAGATATACACTCACAGTGTCTGCTGACTAAAGTGCACATGTGTCCTGACCTCAGACACACACACACCATGTCTGCTGACTAAAGTATACTGTCCAACCTCAGACACACACTGTGTCTGCTGACTGAAGTACACACATCTGACCTCAGAAACACCCACACTGTGTCTGCTGACTAAAGTACACACATGTCCCAACCTAAGACATGACTAAACCACACATGTCCCAACCTCAGACACACACTATGTCTGCTAAGTACACGTGTATCTAGACCTCAGACACACACACCCCATGTCTGCTGACTAAAGTACACATGTATCCTGATCTCAGACACACAGTGTCTGCTGACTAAAGTACACATGTCCCAACCTCAGACGGACACTATGTTTGTTGACTAAGGTACACACATGTCCAAACCTCAGACACACACACCCCATCTCTGCTGACTAAAGTCACACGTGTCCTGATCTCAGCCACATGTTGTGTCTGCTGACTAATACACACATGGCAGACCTCAGACACACAACCCCGTGTCTGCTGACTAAAGTACACACGTGTTCAACCTCAGACACATACACCACTTGTCTCCTGATTAAAGTACACACATGCCTGACCTCAGAAACACACACCACATGTCTGCTGACTACATATGTTTGACTGCAGACACACACAGACCCTACCATGTCTTCTGACTAAACATGTCCGACCTCACACATACACACACACACATACACACCCCCCCCACATGTCTGCTGACTAAAATGTACCTGTCCTGACCTCACATCCCTGTGTCTGGTGACTAAAGTACACATGTCCTGAGCTCAGGTACACACACCCGATGTCTGTGTTCACTAAAGGACACATGTGTCCTGACCTCAGACACAGACACACTGTGTCTGCTGAGTAAAGTACACATGTCCTGACCTCAGACGCACACACACTGTGTCTGTGTTTATTAAAGGACATGCATCCTGGCTTTGAACTGTCTCCCTCTTGCTGATATCTGTCCCCACATCCAATCCCCCACCCCTCAGCTGACCCTCAACACATGATCTTCATCTGCTCTGCCTCCTCCTCATCTCCTCAGCTCTTGCATCTCCTCTGGAGTAGGAACTGGTCTTGTAATAATTTTTTGCCCTGCAAGGATTATCTTGTAATTGTGAAATCCATAAGGGACTGTTTCCTTTAAGAAACTTACAAAACTGTTGATACTTCCCCTAAGAAAATATAATGGTAATAAATAAAATGGTAATTCTACTTATTTATTTGTTTTTAATTTTTACTGTGATATGTGTGAAAGTTTACAGAGCAAATTCACTTTCCATACAGCAGCTCACATACACTTTGTCTCATGACACTGATGGCAATTTCCTACAATGCAACAGCTCCCCTCCCACTTCCTCCCCATAGTTACCTCTTCCCTGTGTCCTTCCCTCCCATACACTCCTGCCCTCCGAGCTGTCTCCTTGTGCATACACAACCCTTCTATTCTCCCATGATTGAGCTCTCCGAGGAGTGTATCTACCTAATGTAAGTGTTCACCTCATATGCCTGTCTTTTGTTTGGCTGGAAGCCACAAGAGTGGGTTCTGTTCCATACCTGAAGGGCAGCTAGTGGCCATAGTCTCACTGGTTCCATCAGGCTCTATCAGACCAGCAAACCTGTTCCTGGCCTTTTTTTTTTTTTTTTTTAATGATTTTGAGTTTTATTCCACAATGTTCTCACACTCTATCCAGGATCTCCTACATAGATCCCCCTCCGAGTGGTTGAGAGTGGTAGCCAGGCACCATCTAGTTCTTCTGATCTCATAGTCATATGAGTCATAGTCAGGGAGCAGCAGACAGGCCCAGGGGCCAGAACAGGTAAGGTGTGTTGGGGGGAGAGCCCCAGACTGCAGGGAGCAGCAGTAGACAGGGCCGGCAGGAACAGGTAGGGGCAGCCCAGGAAGTGAGTGCAGAGGTTGGAACAGCCAAAGGAGATGAATTTGCCTATTGATTTGTCGTACTGTGGTGGCTTGTGTGTAGCTTTGAGGCTAGAGGCTGTGCCAGCAGGGGTGTCCATGATGGACCGGATTCAGTGGACCTTCCAGACTGAGTCAGACTCAGAAGAAGGAAGAGGCCATCCACTTCTCAAAGAATTGGCCACTGAAAACCTTATGAATAGTAGTGAAATACTGTCTGATATGTTACTGGAAAAATTTATGAATAGCCCTGAAATATTGTCCGATACATTGCCAGAAGATGAGCCCCTCAGGTTGGATGCCACTCAAAATATGACTGGGTAAGAGCTGCCTCATCAGAGTGCACCTTAATGATACGGACAAAGTAGAGCTTCCGGAGCCTCCATTTGCTGAAGTGGCACAACTCAATTTGAGAAGAAACAGCTGCAAACATCCATTGATGACTGGAACATGGAATGTATGAAGTATGAATCTAGGAAAATTGGAAGTTGTGAAAAATGAAATGGAATGCATAAAGATTGATATCCTAGGCATTAGTGAGCTGAAATGGACTGGTTTTGGCCATTTTGAATCAGACAACCATATGATCTACTATGCTGGGAATGACAAAGAGGAATGGTGTGGCATTCATCATCACAAAAAATGTTTCAAGATGTATCCTGAAGTACAATGCTGTCAGTGATAGAATAATATCCATACACCTACAAGGAATGCCAGTTAATACTACTATTATACAAATTTACACAACCACCACCAAAGTCAAAGATGAGGAGATTGAAGATTTTTACCAAGTTCTGCAGTCTGAAATTGACCAAACATGCAATCAAGATGTGCTGATTATCACTGGTTGGAAACAAAGAAGAATCACTGATAGTTGGAAAATTTGGCCTTGGCAATAGAAATTTTTATTTCTATGATAGAATTTTGCAAGACCAACAACTTATTCATTGCAAATACTTTTTTTCAACAACACAAACAGCAGCTATACACATGGACTTCGCCAGGTGGAGTACACAGGAATCAGATTGACTACATCTGTGGCAAGAGGTGATGGAGAAGCTCAAAATCATCAGCCAATATAAGGGCAGGAGCTGATTGTGAAACCAACCATCAACTGCTCATTTGCAAGTTCAAGTTGAAGTTGAATACAATTAAAACAAGTTCAGGAGAGCCAAAATATGACCTTGATTGTATCCGTCCTGAATTTAGAGACCAGCTAAAGAATAGATGTGATACACTGAACATCAGTGACTGAAAACCAGAGGAATGTGGGATGACATCAAGAACATCATCCATGAAGAAAGCAAAAGGTCATTAAAAAGACAGGAAAGGAAGAGAAGACCAAAATGGATGTCAGAAGAGAGTTAGATACTTGCCAATGAACAGAGAATAGCTAAAACAAATGGAAGAAATAAAAAAAGAGCTGAACAGAAGATTTCAAAGAGCAGCTCGAGAAGAAAAAGTCAATTATTATAATGAAATGTGCAAAGACATGGAGTTGGAAAGCCAAAAGAGAAGAACATGCTCAGCATTTCTCAAGCTGAAAGAACTGAGGAAAAAAGTCGATCCTTGAGTTGCAATATTGAAAGATTCTATGGGCAAAATACTGAATGATGTAGGAAGCATCAAAAGAAGATGGAAGGAATATACAGAGTCACTGTACCAAAAAGAATTGTTTGATGTTCATCCATTTCAGGAGGTGGCATATGACCAAGTATCAATGGTATTGAAGGAAGAAGTCGAAGCTGCATTGAAGGAAGTGGCGAAAAACAAGCCTCTAGGAATTGACGGGATAACCATTGAGATGTTTCACCAAATGGGTACCACACTAGAGGCACTCACTTGGCTATGGCAAGAGATTTTGAAGACAACTACCTGCCAGCTGCCTGGAAAAGATCCATATTTGTACCCATTCCAAAGAAAGGTGATCCTACGGAATGTGGAAATTATCAAGCAATATCATTAATATCGCATGCAAGTAAAATCTTACTGAAGAT